TCTCCATAAATCATTCCAGTGCAACTTGATTCCTCTTCGAAGATGTTTCGGTGACGGCTGGCGAGCCGTAATACGATAGCTCGTGGTATTTCTCTTTTAGTATTCTTGTCTTTCCGTAATTATTGGGGGAGGGGAGTACTGAGGGTACCCCTTTTGCGCCTCGGATGACACCTTTTCATCCTGCTGGAAATTTTAACAGTCGTTGCGCATCTCTGGATCACATTACCGTCCCTTACCGTTTCTTTGGTTTCTCCCTATCTTGGTTAGGTCCAACTCCGTGGTTATTACTCCCTCTTGTTAGGGAGGAATTGTATTAATGATGACAAGCAGTCGAGTTTATATCATCTGTTAATGAGTGGAATGATGCACAGAGGACAGTTTTTTTCATGAATTGAGAGAATACGGTGCTCGAATTTATTATCGCCAACACGAGAATTTTTCTTACATTTTTCTATTTATAGTAGAATTATGAGGATTATTCATTTCCACTCAACAGAAAATATTTATTAAAAATTGCACAATTGTATTTTTGTCAAGGGATACATTCCAATAATGCACACGGCGAGAAAAATTCAATAAAAATTACCAGAAAAAAGACGTAAAAATTACGTTTCGAAACGTAATCCGCCAGCGAAGTGAAATTCAGTAAAAAATGTAAGTCGGAACTGAAATTGTACGAATCGCCACGTAAATTCTACGATTTGTTCCGTAAATATTAACCAGCCGTCTGATGATTCACCGCTGTGGGGACAACAAGTCGTTCCGTATTTTTCCCCAACGATTGAGAAATTTTACGGAACGGAACGTAGAAATAACTTACCAGCTTCATAAAAATTGTTGAACGTTCCAGAATTTTTTATTTTGGAGGCATAATAAGTCGGCAAGTTTCTATAAGATTTTACTTCTTCGAGAAAAATTACGTGACAATTTCGTAATTTGTTCGGTGATGAACCTGAAAATTCACTGAACGTTTCAGATTTATTCTCTTCCATTCCTATAACAATTGACGGAAAACGATTCCCATTGCGGATTACGTGAATTTTTCCGTAATTTTTACTGAACATTTCTCTCCGTGCATGAGTCTTTTACAAAATTATATTGAATAAATATTCTATTTTGATATGAAACAAAGAACTAGAAAAATTCTGGTTCAACATTGGGGGGCCCTCACCAATCTTCCCCAGAGAAACGACAAAAAAATGTATAAATCCGAAAATTTTCTGGCGCCAACACGAACATTTTTCTCGCATTTTTCTATTTATAGCAGAATTATGAGGATTGTTCATTTCCACCCAACAAAAAATATTTATTAAAAATAGCACAATGATATTTTTGTCAAGGGATATATTGTATGCCCGTGCTGTCTGCACGCACAACGAATTTATTGGAAAAGCCTGCGACTGGCGTGTGTCGGACGAGCCAGCAGAACTCTGGCATCCAACAACGCTCCCTTTGTACTCGCGAAATTACAATTGTTGTCATCATTATCAGAAACTCGCTATGCCGGTGATGCATTCTATTATTTTTTTTTCATCGATACTTTTTTTTTCAAGCCCTGAACACATTGAGATTAATCAATGTTCCCAGTGTACCTGGAGTTGAATATTCATTAATGTTTCTTTTTGTCGGGATGAAGAATGGCTTTCTAAAACCCACAAACATCTGTACGACATTTCAAATAGTTTTATAGTCGTATAATTATGTAAATAGTGCTCATATTTTATTACAATTAATTTCAGCCCTCGTAATTGATTTCTCGGGATCATGCAGCCCATAAATACAAGATATTTAAATACATAATTTCATTCCTGAAAATAGTGATTAAATGGGCATTAAATTTAATGATAATTTGATACGCTATATCTGCAATTTTTCATCATTCAGTTGAGTAAAAATTCAAATGCTACATCTTCGAGTCACTAATTATTAACCGAGGCCTTGAAGGCCACGTTATAATGAAACTCCGTAATGTATTAACACGGGAGTACACATCCACATGGAGCCAAGTCAACGCGTTTGGATATGTATGTATAGATAACAGGTAAACGTGAATACGCGTATGTCGAGTAAAGGAGAATGAGGACTCTGGGAGAAGGTTTCCACGGCGCCGCGACGCTTCCATGTAATATTCGACTAATTACGAATTTAATAACCCCCCTCCTTGCCCTTCTTTCACGGTTGTACGGGTTATTGCCCCGACGATGTCTAAGCAAACTGACTCTCTTTGCGGGAAAAGGGTCATACGGAGATGAAACTGAAGTATTCATTTGTATCTTAATCGACTCAAATTACCAATTAACATTCAAATTGAAGGAGGAATTATTCAATTAATGGGGGCTCAGGCTATTCGGGTTTTTCATAATGAGGAGAGAGTTCGGGGTATGAATAAAAATGATTAAATTAAAAATTTTCTTTGTGCATTGAAAATGATGAGGTGCAGCTGGGAAAACATTTGTATTGAGAAGTTTTTTCTTTGTTCAAGGATATTTTAGGTTTTTCCATTTGCTTGAGTGAAATTCCAAAATTATTGCTGAAGTTCTAAAATATTTCTTCAGTTTTTAAATATTCAAAAAACGCGAACAACCGATTTTTAGCCGATGCACGGAGAATAAAATGCCAAAATTTTTCAGGAGAAATTCAGGCAAAAATTACCGTGCCGTCTGGTAAAGTGGGTTCAATTGTCTAGCACCAGAAAAATTCCGATGCTGCATAGGAAAAATTCCGGTACCGCACAATAAAAGCTTGATCCCTGACTGTTTTCTATTACATAATAAATTCCATTCAATAGTTAAAAATGAGTAAACATTGTCATTCAGCATATCATCCCATTAATTTTATTTTAACCCCCATTCCGAATGAGAACAAATGTTACTACCCCCGAATCTCCTTTTTGTAGATTTAACTCACGAAGTATATTCCAGTGGTTTCAACGACCACCACGGCCCATCAGTCCATGACTTATTGCTCGTAGACGTTGTATCTCGCTTTGGCCTCTTTGAAAGCATTTTCTCATTAAAAAATTAAGGCACGAAGAAGCGGGAGTGGGAGGCGGGGGTGGGTGTAACCGAAGAGGCGGATGAAAGAAGAGCACGAGGGGGTAGAGTACCGAGTTCTCGCAATGTTGAAGTATACAGGGGTGGGTTGGTAAGTGCTCTGCGGCTCCCAGATGCGCCCAATATTATGTTTAATGATATTAACTTCTTACTTAATGGCTCGTGGTTCGATTCGAGGTGTGGAAAAGCCGCAGAAAAAGTTGGAGAGGGATGAAGTTTCAACAGAGTGAAATGTGTAGTTAAAAATATTTGAAGATATGGGTGAAAGAGTGCAAGTGTTGTAAAAATTGCGCTTTGCTGTCGCGAATTTTGGACAACATCAGATAAAATTTCACTCTTTCATGTCAGGAAAAATTACAGTTGTCCGGATAATTTTTAATTCACACTTGACAATTTTCTAAACGTAATTTAGCAAAAATTTATTTGAAATCCTTTATTTTCATAAGATTTTCTACAAATATTACAATTTCAGTAAAAATTACGGTTACAGTGGAATAAACTCTTTGAATAAAAAGAAAATCTACCATTTGTTTCACATTTTGGGCTCATTTCCAAATTAAAAGCCACCCGAAAACGCAATTCTCTATACTGTTAAAGAATTTTGGCTGAAATTTTTGGTACATTTTTTTAAATTTTTCATCAAGTGACAGTTCCCGTGATATCGCAAGGCATTTCAGTAGCGAAGTGGTAAAACGGTTTAAGTCGACTTATCTCCCAGTTCAGTTTTTAAGGCATATTTCCGAATCTAAGGGAGATGACGAAATTTTCGTAACTATCTTTGTTGTAGCACTGAATCGGCTCTTAAAAAAAGGTTATAACACAAATTTTGCTATCTCCCTTAGATTCCGAGATATTCAATGAAAAGTGGTCAATAGTCAAAATTGACTTCTACCGTTTTACCACTTCGCTACTGCTTTCATTATTGCAATTTCATCATTTGATGACAAAATCAACAATAACAGTAAATTATGGTTTAATTATCCTCTGAAAATTGATACAAATCACGAAAATTCGGGTGAATATAGTCTTGCACTTTCGATTAATTGAAAATTCCGCGTAATTTCACACAGAAAATTCATTTTTTTTTTTAATTCGGAAACCGGTGTAAACAGTGAAAACATTTACTACCTGCATGAGGGCAATTTTTAGTGTAGTTCTCTTTCAATTTGCATGAACCGAGGTTTCTCCATCTGAAATTCTCGTTCGGCTCAACGGAATTTGCTCTCTGACTTTTAGTTTTAATTTTAATTTTTGTACTATACGACCCACTTCCAGTGATAAATAAAAATGCGCAATTTCATCCACCGCAATTATTACCAGGGGGCTTGGAAGTAACCAGGAAAGAAAGGATTTTTATTATTACGAGCGTGGGGTTGTTTTCCAGTCCTCCCGTGGGGGTCACTGCAGTTTTTAACGCCGTGTGCTTTCACCTTAAAGAAAGAAAGAGGAAAATATTAACGATTTTAGCCGCGGCTTGTTGGCTCTGAGTCTTCGACCCACCCTCAATTTCTTATTCAACCCAACAGAGTCAAACAATATAAAAGGTGGGATTAAAAGTTTTCCGGTAGCTTCAGGCGTCTCAGTCCCTAACGAGCCCGTTTCAAACTCGTCAACTCGTGTAAGATTCGTTAAAACTGGTAGAAGACATTTTTCGTTCGAGTTTTTCTCGCAGTATATTGTGAGAATTAGAAAGTTCCCTCATGATCTTTGATAACTACGATTTTCCCATTTTTGTGGGAAATAAAACGCCGAAGTCAATATTTCGAAGCTCTTTTGATCGATGATTGCTCGTGAGAACTGGCGTTTATCGGCCTACGTGTTATCGGGAACCAGAGTTGGAATAATTACTTGATTAATACCCATTGGACCGCGGATGAAAATAAATAAGTACTTGTGAGGATGAATACTGAATCGAGTCTTTATCGTTTTTTAATTCTTTTGTTTCAGGCTGAGAGAGGAGAGGGGGGATCCTGAGAGAGCACTGGCGCTGGACCACAAACCGAGGGACCTCAGCTCGCACAATGGTAAATCTGGAATTTTAATCTCGGGAATTTTCAACAAGTGACGTTTCTACTGAATTTTTACACGGAAAAAAATGTTCAGTAAGAATTATGGAAGTCACAATTCACTCACCGATTACGGAATCGACTCAGAAAATTTAAGTGAGGGTAATTGTTATTTTTCACAGGAGGTTCAGATAAAAATTACGGAACGCTCTGGAAAAATGCCGTGATAGTTCCGTAAAATTTCCTACAACCACATTTCGCTCCGGAATTATGGAAAAGATATGGAATTTTTATTGAATATTTCTCTCCGCTTACGAAAGTTCGTCATTGAGAAATCATAATTGGATGAAAAAATTGAGGATATCATGATATTTGAGTTGAATTATTCACGGGAAATTAATTGAGAAATCATAGTTGGATGAGAAATTTGAGGATATCTTGATAATTCATTTGAATCATTCACGGGAAATTAATAAAGATTAGGAAAATTTGGGTGGAGATGTGCTCAGATGGTTCAGAAGATAAAACTCAATGGTCATGTTTAATTTAGAGTTCAAGTAATTTGTGAAATTTCCGTTTATTCCCAATAAAATCTGACATTTCAGGATTTTTTTGCTGTAACACGTGTGTCAATTATGTTGTTTTTAAACTAAAGTTTAATTTTTGTAGGTTCCTTCCTCCTAAATTGACTTTATTGTCATTCATCTGGAAATTTTATTTTTCGAAAATATACTATAAGAAGTGTTTTGAAATTCAAATAAATTTGAATTCAATTCGAGACTGAATCGTCCACAAATTTTTTTTCGAGTGTTCATTTATATTTCAACGGCAGCCTGAATTTTGCAATTCATTATGGTGAGTGGACAGTGTTACAGTCAATTCAATTTTTGATGAATTCAGAATTCAGAACTATTCCATTGACAGATTCCATCATTTTTTACCTCCAATTTTATGAGTTTTCATAAATTTTGCAATAGTGCAATTACACAGAAACAAATATCATTCTCATTTATTCCTCATATGTTTATATTTTTGCGAATTTCATGGAATTGCAAGCAAGTCAGAAAAAAATTGAAATTTCCTGGACATTTTAATAGTAATTTTCAGAAGTGTGACATTGACATCACTTTAGGAGAAAAAATGGGAAAATGTCAGATTTTATTGGGAATTCAACAAAATTTCAAATTTTTTTGCAGCGAGAAGACGAGAATTTTCCAACAAACTTGAATTTCCAATGAAAACATAAATATTCAGCCCCAAATTACGCTGAGGTCACAAACATGTTTACTCGATTTTCCTCATTTCTATCAATGTTCATCCACGGAGAGAAATTTCATTGGGAAGACGTGAATTTTTCCCACTAGTTCTGTCAAAACTTCACAGAAATGCCCAGACATTTTACCAGAAATACCAAGAAATTTTACCTTAACAGCACTAGAATTTTTCACAGCCGGTGGATTGTAATTTTTTCCAGTACTCATACTAGAATTTTTCTAGAAAATTTCTCTCCGTGTAGAATAATCGAGTAAGACAATTACAGATTCCATTGAGTTTTTAATAAATTCTAAATTTCCAATCGCGAAATTCTTTGAAGTTTGAGTGAAACTAATGTTTTGTGATGAAAATTTCCAAAAAGAGTCATAATTTCAAATTTTTTTAACAACTATGTCTGAAAACTTGATGAGATTGCAAGCTGCGATTGACACTACTAAACACGCCGGAAAAGTTGTCCTTGATATTGAAAAAAACCCCGAAAACTACCGCTTCTGCCACAAAATCTACTAAAATATCCGGAAAACGAAACCAAAACAAAAATTTTAAAGAATCCCCCAGCAGATCACTCCTCCTCAACGTCAAGAGAATTAAGATAGCGCATAGTGAATTCAGAGAAGTCCTCTTTCCATATCGATTGATCCAGATCGAGGACTAAGCGAAGCAGAAAAATCCCACTCGACGTTTCCACTCTTCTTCTTACATCTCCCGCCCCCCTTTCCGGGTCCATCAGCATTCGCCTCTCCTTTGTTCTTCCGTTCCACCTTCCATACTCTCGTTTTCGTCCGGCCCTTCTCCTCATTTCACCAGCAGCCCAAGAGAGACAGAATGAAAATACCCGGAGAATCTTAGATATCGGGTTTCGGAGACCTGGGACGAGAGCCTCGCGGCAATATCTAAAAACCTTTCTCTTTGATTCCACGTAATATTTTAATCCGTCTGGTCGAACCCTTTATCTCCTTCTGATATGTCTCATTCTCTTTTTGCTGGTTAAAACCTTTGTAGAATTATTATTTTAATCACGAACTTTCGGCTGGTTAAAGTAGCTCTACCCTTACGGTAAATTCAAAGATCATTGAAAACTGCAAAAAAATTGCAGAAAACTCGATTAGATTCGGAACTAATTTTTTCTCAAAGTAATCATCGTTTTGTTTTTTCAAAGAAGAAATGTTTAAAAATCAGGATTTAACCGTCTGTCTTATGTGAAAAACATTTCCATTGTAATCGAAGATTGAAATCTGAATTTTTTGTCATTAGATGTGACAAAATCAAGAATATTTTTGCACACCTCATAAAAAATAATCCACCGTTTTGCAAACAAGTTAAATTATTGATTTATGAAAGGGAAATGTTTGAAAACGGAGGGAAAAATTCAATAAAAATTACCAGAAAAACACGTAAAAATTACGCTTCGAAACGTAATCCGGGAGCGAAGTAAAATTCAATAAAAAGTGTGAGTCGGAATTGAAATTGTACAAATCGCCACGTAAATTCTACGATTTGTTCCGTAAAAATTAACCAGCCGTCTGATGACTCACCGCTGTGGGGACAAGTCGTTCCGTAATTTTTCCCCAACGATTGAGAAATTTTACGGAACGGAACGTAGAAATAACTCACCAGCTTCATAAAAATTGTTGAACGTTTAAGAATTTTGGATTTTGGAGGCACAATAAGTCGGCACGTTTCTGTAAGATTTTACTTCTTCGGGAAAAATTACGTGACAATTTCGTACTTTGTTCGGTGATGAACCTGAAAATTCACTGAACCTTTCCGATTTCTTATCTTCCATTCCTATAAAAATTGCCGGAAAACGATTCCCCCTTGCGGATTACGTGAATTGTTCCGTAATTTTTACCGAATATTTCTCTCCGTGTAGATAATACTGACTGGGTATGAATTTTTTCAAATCTTTTCCATGCAATTCGTTCAAGTCGTTCAAAAATTGAAAAACTGAAAATATCCAAAAGTACAGCGTAGCCCGGCCGAAGGGTAGAGCTACTTTAATTATTAAATGAGCGGCATTTTGTTGATAGGTTGGGAGGATTTCTAGTGCGTGGGAAGGTTGGGAAATAGGGAAGTACTGGGCGTCACTGGTGGGGCGAATTTCCCTCGGTAAACCAAACAGTATCCATCTACGTCAGGATTAAAATCCTACGATATCAAATACACCACGGAAAACAGGAAAGGGAAAGTACGACGGGTGGTTTTAGAGATGGGAGTGGATAGTTTGGTTTGTACGGTTTGGCTATTCAAAACATTGGAAATGGTGCGTGTAAATAAGATCCATCAACGTGCCAGGCTTCTTTCACGTCAGTTTCACAATGCAGAACTTGGAACGTTTCAGCAAATGAGAATTGAGGGGAATGCGTGGTTCATCAAAGAAAATTGGATGTGATTTTTTGTTTACACTGAGGAAAAAAATTGTTTTTTCCTAATATCCATTCACTTGAGAAATGTATTTGGTTTTTCAATAAAATGTTAAAGTTAATGTTAATTTTCCTTAAAATGTTAATGCAACTAAAATGTGATAAACATTTCCAAGAAGTGTACCAGAAGTTTAAGTAAATTTTTTTTAACAATGTAACAATTTCACGGAGAGAAATTCTTCAGAGAAATTCTAGTGCTAGCACGGGAAAGAGGCGCAAAGTGACGGCCAGGAAAAAATTCCAGTGCCGGCGCTAGAAATTTTATTGGGGAAAACGTGAATTTTCCCCCGTATTTCTGTGAAAATTTCACAGAAATACCCAGAAATACCAAGAAATTTTACCTTCACAGCACTAGAATTTTTATAAGTTTGTGATTTTGTCCAGTACTCGTACTAGAATTTTTCTAGAAAATTTTTCGCGGCGTTCCAATCATCTCTATTGTATGGGCCTGAAAATTGAGATATCATGAACGATCCCAGAAATTCCCAGATTCATCATTAACAACATCCATGCAAATGTCACGCAATCTATTCATTACTGAAAAAGTTCAAGACGTTCACCTAAAAACATCACGACAAATTCCCTAACAGTGACCAATTGCTACTGTTTCAGGTTCCTCGAACGGTCACAGTCCTGTCCTCAACCTATCAAAAACAGCGGGAAGTGGAAGTGTGGGTGAGCAATCAGGTAGCGAGGGTGCAGCGTCGCATCGTTCTCAGGACGACGAAGAGGAGGACGACAACCTGTCGGACGACCTCGAGGACGAGAACGAAAAGGACGAAGGTCGGTTATAGAACCTCTCATAGTTCAATACCTCCTCGCAAAATCGCCCTCCCCCGCCTCAAACCCAACTAAGAGAGCCCATGAGGGGCAAAAAAACCGCAAGAATTAAGAGGGCGTCGCTCATTAATTATCACGTACCCCAGACATTGATGAACGACAGTGGAGAGTTATGATGTCGGATTTTAAATAAAAGAAATGAAGCCCGTGGCAGTAAGGACAGTGATTGGTGAAATTGGATGGGCAATTAACGAATGAAGTCGCAATCTTTTGTATCGATTATTCCGTCACCAGAATTGAAAATCGTCTCGATTATTCTGCGGCCGATGCCCATCCTCTTTCTCAACAACTGCGCTTGGCTCTGGATGGAGAAAAAAAAATGATATCGCTTATTTTTTTCTCGCTGAGGGGATATGTGAGCTCTTTGAGACGATTGGTGGGTCAGAGCCACTCATCGATCATCTACCGAGAGTCAAGAGCGACGTTCAGACTTTCGTCTGTTCCGCTGTTTCTCGAGTGAGAGAGGACTAGCCGTTCCCCGCAGGGACTATCATGAAGACTTTCAGCCTCAAACTTTCCCCATTCAGCGTCAAATAATCGTTTGAATTGCATCATCAGCCGGAGCCATTCCCAGTCATTTGAGCCCTAATAATCATCGCGAATGAACTCTGATCGTCAGAGGACAATTAAACTCACTTCGAATTTCTCTTTAACTCGAATGAAGCACCTCTGGTCGATCTCCAGATCATTAGACCGGCCATCGTCGGGCATTTAGTTTCATTTTAATAATCCAACCGATCACTCCGGGACAAAGTCAGACGTTTCAGCATTTCGCGCCTCTCGAACCTCCAGACTCAGACCAATTAACATTTCAACAATATTAAGTCTCGAGTTTAAACGAGTTCTTCCCCATCAGAGAAATAGCCGGGGATCATTTGGAGTCTGTGTCAAAACAAACCAGAGGGTATCGTAAAGGTATAAAAAAGGCCATTCTAAAGGGAAAATAAAAGACAGACAGTCTGCATTCATAAATATACGAAATATATTTGTCTGGATGAGGAGAATTTTCGGAAAGAGCGGAATGAATCGCTCTCCGTAGAATGCAACAGTCGGGCTGAAAGGGATTAGGGGATAAATGTATCGTACTTCTATATCGTGTCTCTCAGCGTGTTGTTGTGTACCGGTACATCCTACCTATGGTGATCGAAGTAGAACCCCATCGAATGTCCGTGGGAGTGTACACGCCCATGGAATGCCGTTCTGATTTAATGAGACGCAGAATAACGCGTAAGGGAATTTAGTCTTTTCCATTGTTTTTTCGGCATTTTTGAGGAATCTGTTGAAAATTTTCGGCGGGAATTGGCGGGATACATCTATGAAATTATCAATAATTCACATTTCCACTGGAGTTTCATCTCGTCGTTAAAAGGCTGAGATGGTTATTGAGGTTGCGCAGCAAAACGACATGTCTGAATTTCATACACCTTTTGCAGACACTGAAAAACGTCTGAATAAAAACGAAATTTATCTGAATTTCAGACGAACCGGTGTCTAAACATCTCAATTCATGTTTGACATTCAGACATTTTTATTTTATCCAGACGGTTTTTAGTGCCTGAAAAATGTCTACAAAAGGTGTGTGAAATTTAGACATTCGTTTTTGCTGAGAAAAAAAATATGAATTCAGTGGTGAAACGGCTACCCGAGTCGAATAATTGGACCTGACAAGTTCTACTTAGGTCTTTCCGTTCAGAACTGGTCTGGTCTGGATAGGTCTTGGGAAGCCTGTTCCCAAGTGCTTCCGAGACCTTTCTACCTCTGGTTATGTCAGGTTATGTCTTCAACTCGGGTTTTCAATTGAAAGCCCGAATTGTAGACCCGAGTTTGTAGCAGCGATGTCAGACAAGATATGAATGTTTTTTTGGGCTCAAATGAAAGAGCGGGTCGAGAAATAGCGTGCTAGGGCCTCTAAAGATGGTTTTGAACCAGGGGAGACTCCTAGACCCCACTGGACAATGTTGTCACAATTGCGCTTTTCAATTGAAAACAGACAT